AGACCTTCATGAAGAGTGACGCTCACCAAAGATTCACCGATTACTTTGCTGCAAAGAGTATTCATTCTGAGAGAGGGACGTTTCATCTACTATATGGAATACGAGGACTTAGGTCTTCCTGCTGACATCGAGCGCACCATAAAAGAGTTTGAAGTGGAACATGTTTTACAGGCACTCAAACCCTCACAACATGCAGATGGTCAAGGATTTTCACTCCAACTTGGTGGGCACGTCAAGTAAGATGATGAAGGTGATTGTGCGGGGAATTAAGGTAGAATATTCTGAAGCCACAATCAATATGATGTTGGGATTGAAGAACGTTGGTGACATATACCAACACTTGATGGAAACCATAGATGACCAAGACCTGGACGTTATGAAAGACTTTATGTGTAACCCTAGAACTAAGCGGGCAAAGACAAATAAGAGCTTTGAGAAAACAGTGTTGAGAATGGACTTTTTTGCTGAACCTAAACATTGGTATCAATTTATCAAACATTCTCTCATACCCACTGCTCACAATGAAACCATCAATAAGGCTAGACTTGTGCTGCTTCATTGTATCATAACATTCATCGTTATGAATGTTGTGAAGAAATACAAGCATGCTCAAAGAAGAATAATAGAGTTATCTACTTTCCATGTATGATTACCACCCTGTGCAAGAGGAAAAGAGTCCCTGAGAGATCAATAAATGAGATTTACTACCCATAGGCTGGAATTGACAGGACTATCATCCAAATTTTTTCGAAGCCTAAGGGGAAGAGAAAGCAAAATAAGGCGTGCTAGGAGACGGAAAAAGGAAGTACTTCATTCGAAATTGAAAAAAACTTGTGGGGAATTCTGGTCCAAATGCAAAAGGACCAACGAGAGTTCTTCAAATTTGTTAGGGACCAACATGTTTGGCATAAGAAGTTGTACACCCTTCACAAGGGAGGATTCATGAATAGGCCACCAACATTTCCGGAGCATATTTTGGGAGAGCTGTTGAATGAAGTTGGAGAAGATTACCAGGAGCACTATTCTAAAAGGAATTACAAACCTGAAGAAAACCTATAAAATAAGGGAAAGAAAAAGGGTAAGAAGAAGGTATCCTTCAAGACTCAGCCATAGGCCAGCTCTGACATGCCAGTGGTGGACATACCTGAGGAAAAAAAGTCCTGAAATTCAAAGAAGACCCCTGTGAAGCCTGTGCCTTAAGAGAAAAGCTCATTAAAGCAATTTGATATCAACTAATCAGCAGAAGGACAATCATATGATGAAGATGATAAAACAATTAATGACATAATAAAACAAGTGAACAAGGATAACGAGGAGCTAAAAAATAATGAACATAATGATAAGAAAAATGCAGAGGAGGATGACCAAATAGATGACGTCGAACAAGAAGAGAAGGAAAAACAAGTTCTATAAGAAGAACAAGTTGAAAAAGATGAACAAGATAAGGAAGATGAAGATGACACTAAAACTGAAAAAGAGGAAGCTGCTGTTGAGGACTCAAGTGAATCCAATATCAAGTCTAAAATTGAGTTTATACAGGTTAAAGACATTGAGGGTGATGACTTAAAAGAACCTCTACAAGTCATAGTCGTATCAGAAGTCTCCAGCCCAACAAGGCAAAAGACTTTATAATAACCCAACAGTTCAGTAACCCTGAAAAGCCATGCTGTCGTACCTCGAAAAATACGATCCTCGTGATGGACGCGGAAAAAACGTTCGAACAGAGTCGCCACCGAACTTTATTCATTCCAAGGAAGGAATAAGAAAATATCGATAAAACCTTTAAAGAGATAAGAACATGGTCGTCGCAACCAAATTATAGGTTCGATAGTCAATTACGCAAGAGGGAAGGTATTAGCACCCTCTACGTCCGTTGTACTCAACGGGAACCTTTTGATTCAATTCGTGAGAGAAATTACCTAAGTTTGTTTATCTTCTAAATGATTTGCTTCTAAGGAGAAAATGGGTGGTTTTTTTTATTAAGGTGCTCGCTAAGGATTGAGGCCCTTGTGCCTACATAATGGGAAAGTCAGAGTATCGTAGTTCGTGGTACTACGGTTGGTTGGTTTTATCAAACAAATTTTTAGAGGGTACTGAATATAGTTCTTTTAGGAAATAGTTTTAATCGTGCGGAGACAAGACGTTAAATTAATGTGTTTGTATTTTGATTGGATGACAATCACTCAAAGCTTAATAAAGGCTCATCGGGCCCAAGTGATTGGGAAAGTGAATCGAAGATTCGACTCTCTCTCTTTTTCAACCTTAGTTATGAAAGAATTTTGATATAATTAGAGTAGTTTATGAATTATGATTACTCGCGGCTTAAGAAAGGCTCCTCGGGTCCAAGTAATCGGGATAGTGAGTCAAAGACTTGACTCTCTCTTTTTTTTTCATTTAAGCATTGGGGAAATAGGTTTTGAGTTCGTTTATTATAAAAATAGTTTGATGTAGAATCGTGTTGTAAAGTTTTTTAGGGAAGACAATTGTTTGAACTTAAGAAAGACTCCTCGGGCCCAAACAATTGAGAAGAGGAATCGAAGACTCCATTCCAACTCCTTTTTCATATCTTATTGAAATTATGTTTAAGCATAAGTAAGTATATTAAGATTATTTTGATAAAATGCTCGATGTTGATCGAGGTTTGAATTTGCGTACGAAACAAATAAGGTTGAACTAATGGAAAAGAGATCATATAAGTAAAAGGTAAGGTCAACAGCGAGGCAAAAGTGCTCAACTTACAAAGGTAAAGGAACTTGATATATGGATCAAGTATGCTTGAGAAAGAAGTTGGTGATTACTTGTATTTGTTTTGAAAACACTTGACGTTGAATCAAGTTTATTTGTTTCTTTGAGAAGAGTTGATATTAATCTTGTGTTAAATTCTGACATCTCATGAGAAAGGGGTACATTTGTTCAAATGTGATATTATCAAGCCTTAATCAACATAAATCATTTATACAAGCAAACGTACATGCAAAATGTGTAACAAGCGTCGTTGTACAAAGCCCAAGAGGAGGCTAAAAGGTTGATGGCGATCGTGAAAACAATAGACTTATAAGGTATTAGAAAATGACTTGATTTTAAATCAAGGTATTAGTTTGAAAAGAATTGGTTTGCTCAAACATATGAAGAGTAATGTAAAAACAATTAAGGCATAATAATAACACATATGAACAAAGCATGAGTACCACACAAAACATAAACTAAGTGAAATGGGGAAAGAAGTTATTCATACAAAATTAGCAAATTAAGCTTAAACTAATGCCTTGGATTTTTCTAAACTTAGTGAAAATAACTGATTAAGATAAACTTTGATTAATACTAGGTAAAAAAAAATTTAAGAATAAGTTAGAAAAATATTTTGTAGTTTTTCTCTTAAAATTAAAGAAAATGAGTAGCTTATTTCTGATGTGATCTTTCTATCCTTATCCATTTTATGTTTTGTTATTTATTTTTACTCAGTTGCTTATTTCTCTATTTCTTCTCATTTATGTTACTCGGCTTATTTATCTTTGTTTATCTCTATCTTCAAACATAAAATAATTTAAATCAAAGCGTTTTCATAAACTAGATTTTAAAATCCGAATATCACAACTTACCCCCTATTATGTTTGACTTTCTTTTTCTTCTAGGTTTCTTCCTATAATATTTTTCTTCTTTCTTCTTCCATTTGTCGTTTCCTTTGAGATATTCTTAGGGGTACATATCAACCATATTGTATATGAAGTTAGCATGTTAAGGAATGACTAGGGTGGAAAGGGAAAATATTTAGTTTTTGATGGTTTAAGTTTCAAACGATTTTTGTAATACAATGCAACTACCTTTAACTATGTTTACCTCCACGTTGTCTAGGGCATACTTCCTTGCCAAGTACATGGTGAAAAAATGTTGCCCTTAGTACGTTAAAGGTTGAAGAAACGATGCTTATCTTATAAGATTAGAATAACACACTCACTAATAGATAGATAAATTCACATGTATTGGGATTCCTTCTATTCTTAAAGGTGGTATAGAGGGTTATATGGCTCCTTAAATTTTTCTACTCACACGAGAACCCGACTAGGCTTCCCCGATATAGTTTGAGTTTCTCTGGGGTGAGAATCAAAGCCATCAGAGTTTTCAAGTATAAGATTCATGTTAAATTGTCAAGTTGATCAAGACTTTTTTCACATCCCATTCAAAGATATGAACTTCAATCAATATTAGGTCGCCTTCATGACGAATAGTTCCTTTACTAAAAACGTGATGTTTGAGAGTCAGGAAAATGTTAGATCTCTAAAATGTTTATGTATATTATTAACTTGTCTCATATATCTCATCTTGGATAAACTTGATTCACCTTTTCTAGAGAATTCGTTGATAAAGATGTTAATAGCGTGTCTAACTGTAAGATCATCCATTTTTTCATGTCAGTCTTTATTTTCTCTCCTAAAGGATCAATGAGATCTAGGTGTGACCGACTCGTCTCATTCCTAAAGGTTATAACCAACCTAAACCATTTCCTAAAATTTGATTTGGCCATTATGACGACCCTAACCATTTTCTAAATTTTAATCCGGCCATCATAATGACTCTAACCATTCCTTCATCAAAAAACAAATTAAATAATCTATGAGTTATTTAATATTTGATTAAGTTAAGACAAAATTGGATAATTTTCTATTATATAAACCTTACAATTTTCTCTCTTCAACTAAAAATACTTCCGTGTTTTTTTTAAATATTGAATTTAATCATTTTGGTTTATCTGAATTTTTTATCTATCATATATTTTCAATAAAAAAACTAAAAAATCATTATTAAACATTTAAAAAAGATAACAAATGAAACAATGCAAAAATCAATACAAATATTTAACAAAGATAAATTAAACCCAATAAAAAGAAAAAGCTTAGCCTTTTGGCTTTTCAACCAAAAGAAAAACTCAGTCATTTTATATCAGTTTCCCAAACCCTAATATTTCTCTGGTGGTGGCGACTGCATCAGTAGAGACTCCGATCATGGCGGCAGAGTACGATCTGACACCGCGTATGGCCCCAAATCTTGACCGGCATTTAGTCTTTCCTCTGTTAGAGTTTCTTCAAGAGAGACAAATATACAACGATAACCATATCCTGAAAGCTAAGATTGATCTCTTAAACAACACAAACATGGTTGATTACGCCATGGACATTCACAAAACACTCTACCAAACTGAAGATGTGCCTCAGGATATGGTTGAACGCAGGGCCGACGTTGTCGCTCGACTCAAGTCTCTTGAAGACGCTGCTGCTCCTCTTGTTGCTTTCCTTCAAAATGCTGCTGCCGTTCATGAATTGAAAGCTGATAAACACTATAATCTTCAGATGCTTAATGATAAATACCAGGTTTTGTCCTATCTATCATATTTTCACACAATTAATTGATTTGTTTACTCTATGTTATGGAAACGTGATTATTTATCAAAAGCAATAGGTTCTCCAGCGTGACTGTAATTACTAGTGTTTGGATGTTTTTTTATTAATAATTTCTTTGGATGATGTGATGAAATAATGGCTTTTAGGAAATAATCACATTTTGATGATTGCTTTTTAGGGCTCTGATTGGTAATAAGCAAATGATAGCATTTAAGTTAGCCGATAGCGGATTAACTTATAACATAGCGGGTGGATAATGTAGCTGATTTAACTTGAGGTGTTCGGTAAAACTAACTGTTTGAAGAACTCATTAATATAAAATATTAACATAAACATATTTTCAGTTAATAATTAAAAAAGTTCAATTAAGATAATTAAGATAATAAGGGTAAAGTCCCCAGGTCCTAGCTCAATTGGCAATAGCCGATATTGCTAGGTTGGGCATTATTTGTGTGTGAGTTTCTAGGGGATGCTACCACTTTGTCTACGGTCCGAAAAAAGAAAAAGTAAATAATAAGGGTGAAATGAGAGAAAATGCTATAAATTCAAACAATGCTTGAAGTATATTAGAGTAATGTTAAGATATGTTAGATATAACTAGTATATTGTTGTAACTATCAAGACTCACAGGTGTCAGCTTGGAATACCCTGACATGCTATTGCAGGTTACCTGGTTTTTAGTATAAAAGCAACCAGGACCTCTCTTTGTAACTAACTTTCGAACGAGAAAAAAAAGTTTGTTACAGAAAATGAACAGTTCCACTATGAGTTTTATACTTTACTTTTTTATAGTTCCTTTTCATAATAAAGATTATACTCTATATTTTATTCTAATTGTTGTATGGGTTAGACACATATACTTCATTCACATACTTCACACACCACATACTCTAGTCCTTTAGAACTTTTTTATAGTGACTTATGGGGTCCCTCTCCTAACCCCTCTACTTTAGGTTTTGCATACTATATGTCATTTGTTGATGCCTATTTTAAATTTACTTGGATATACTTGCTTAAACCCAAGTCTGAGGCCCTCTCTACCTTTAAACAACCTTTAAACAGTTTAAGGTCACGGTTGAGCTACAACTTGGCTTTCCTATTAAAGCCATGATTGGAGTGAGGAGTTCAGGCCTTTTACCAAATTTCTGGCTGACTTGGGCATAGTCCACAGAGTGATTTGTCCTCTAACACACCATTAAAATGGTGTGGTTGAGAGGAAACAAAAACATATTGTAGACCTTGGTCTCACTCTGCTAAGTCAAGCCTCCTTGCCCTTGTCTTATTGGGATTATGCCTTCTCTTCTGCAATCTACTTAATAAACAGGTTTCCCTTTTCTTCTATTAATTTTGAAGTCCCCTACGCCTTATTGCTTCACATCTCTCCTGACTATGCATTCCTCAAGATCTTTGGTTGTGCTTGTTTTCCTCTCATGCCTTATCACACTCAGAAACTCAATTTCAGGTCTCAGGAATATGTCTTCCTTGGTTACTCCACTTTTCACAAGGGCTATAGGTGTCTAGCCCCTGGTGGAAGACTGTACATATCCAACGATGTACTCTTCATTGAGTCTAGATTCTCCTTTCCTGCTCTCTTTCTTAATGCCTCTACTCCTAGTTCATCATCTATTAAGAGTACTGCTTTGTCTCTCCTTATTTTCATGATCCTTGTTAAGAAATATGGTTGGGTCTAACTCAACCCCACAAAACCGGTTGGTAGAGTGAGAATTGCCCCCACTTATAAACACATGTTCATGCCATATATTGTCCGACGTGGGACTCTTAACACCCCTCAGGACTAGACAATTGAAGCGTGAAAATAAATGGTGGGTGGCCTGATAGTGGAAACCATAGAAGGTGGTCCACCGGATCTTTAACGAGGCTCAGATACCATGTTAAGAAATGTGGTTGAGCCTAACTCAACCCTACAAAACCGGTTGGTAGAGTGAGGATTGCCCCTACTTATAAACAAATGTTCATGTCATATATTGTCTAATGTGGGACTCTTAACACACCTCCTCAAGCTTAAGCATATAAGTCAAATGCACCAAACTTGTTACATATATAATTAGTTATGGGGCTTCGCAGGGATTTTGTAAACACATCTGCCAATTGATCATTAGAGTTGACAAAGCTTGTGACAATGTCACCTGACTCGATCTTCTCTTTGACAAAGTGACAGTCTATCTCAATATGTTAAGTCCTCTCATGGAAGACTGGATTTGAAGCAATATGCAATGCAACTTGATTATCACAAATAAGTGTCATTGTTCTTACTTCTTCAATTTGAAGTTCCTTGAGCAACTGTTTTAACCAAATAAGTTCACATGTTGCCATTGCCATGACCCTATACTCTGCCTCGACGCTTGATCTTGCAACAACGTTCTGTTTCTTACTCTTGCAGGATATAAGGTTTCCTCCAACGAGTACACAATACACCATATTCGATGACTCCCCTGAACAACAAACCCAGGTGGTTGCTCTATATATACTTCCTCTTCAAGATTCCCGTGTAAAAAAGCATTTATAATGTCAAGTTGGTGAAGAGATCAATGTCGAATGGCTGCAATGGCTAGAAGAAGTTTAACAAATGTCATCTTGGCTACAAGCGCAAAGGTGTCACTATAATCCAACCCAAAAATCTGAGTGTATCCTTTGGCTGTCAAGCGAGCTTTAAATGGATCAATCTTTTACCATCGGGACCAACCTTCACTGTATAAAGCCAACAACAACCTACTAAAGATTTTTTAGGGGGTAGGGGAACTAGTTCTTAGGTACCATTGCTTTGAAGAGCACACATTTCATCAATCATTGCTTGCCTCCATTCAGGGTGAGATAATGCTTCACCTGGACTTTTAGGAATAGAAGTAGAAGACAAAGAAGACAAACAAGTATACTGCAAAGGAGAAAGACGATGATAACATAAATCAATGTAATGTGGAGAAAGATGTTGAAATACAAGAGACTAAGAGACATATGAATAAATCGTGTTTCTTGAGGTGTGTGAGGGTAGGATGTTTGATGGAGAATACCATTGTGTGACATAAAATTTTGAAATTGTTGGGATAAATATTCACGGGCATTGTCACTTCTTAAGGTACAGATAGACACACCGAATTGAGTTCTTATTTCTCGATAAAATTGTTCAAAAATAGAAAATAATTCAGATCTATTCTTCATTAAAAATAACCACGTGCAACGTGAAAAATCATCAATAAAGGTGACAAAATACCTAGACTCAAGAGTAGAGACAATACGCGAGGGACCCCAAGCATCCGTGCGAACTAAAGCAAAAGGGGGCGAAACTCGTTTGTTGACTCAATTGGGAAATTGACTACGAGTGTATTTCCCTAACTGGCATGACTCACAATGTAAATTAGATACCTTCGATAAATTTGGCACCAACTTATTAATTTGGAAAGACTGGGATGACCTAACTGAGCATGGATAATGAGTGGAGAATCTTTGGCTGAGCATGTCTGAGATGACAATGAGAGGTAATAAAGGGCTTGAGACTCATATCCGACGCCAATCGTCTGTCCTGAACTCCGATCCTGCAGGGTAACATTATTGTTAGTGAAGGTGGTATTACAATCAAGAGAACGAGTTAAACGACTGACTTAAAGTAAATTAACTGAACAATTAGGTACATAGAAGACATAAGTAATAGAGAGAGAAGGTAGAATTTGAACAGTACCAATTCTTTCGGATCGGGTTTGAGAACCATTGACAGTAACATGATTAGACGCACCAGAATCAAGGATCCAAGGTCGAAGAGAAGATGATTGAGAGAGACAAGCAGATGAATTACCAGTGTGTGCTACTGTAACAGTAGAGTGCTACTGTAACAGTAGAGTCTGAGTTCTAATAATTCTGATACCACCTGAGAAAATCATCGTAGTTTGCCGTAAAGTTCTGAGGAGTAGCCATGGGTATCTGAAGAGAGAAAATATCACGCAATCAGTCGCCGAACGTGCTGTCACGTGCGGTTCATGTAGCGGCGCGTGATGCCCACACGCGGAGACGGAGGTTTCTTCTGGTGAAAAAGTTTGCTGGAAGGTCGTCGTGAATAGTAGCGACGACGGCGGATGACGGCGGCTATGCGGTTATGACCGGAGAATATTGAAAACTGATGGTGGAGTCGGCTTTCCTAAACGTCGCCAAAAGTTTTGCCGGAACAATAACGGCGGCAGGGTGGTCACCGGAGAATTTTGAAAAATGAGAGGCAAACCGGAGTGACAACACAGTTTGCAAAAAAAAAATTGAAAATTTCTTACCGGAAGACAATGGGTCAACTGGGTAAAGGACGACGAAGAAAGATTTGCCTCTTAGCGGGCTCTAGATACCATGTTAAAAAATGTGGTTGGGTCTAATTCAACCCTACAAAACCGGTTGGTAGAGTGAGAATTGCCCTCACTTATAAAGACATATTCATGCCATATATTGTCCGATGTGAGACTCTTAACAATCTTATTTTTTCTGCTTCTTCAGGCACTCCACCTGCTGCTGCAAGCTCTTCCCTTCTTCAGAGTCTTCCTCTGAGTCAATTTCTAGGTTTAACATACTTCTCATCCTTTCCTGAGTCAATTTCTAGGTCTTAACATACTTCTCATCCTTTTTCTTTCCTCTCCCGACAATGTTACTTCTGCTCTATCCAGTCCCATCTCTAGTTCCCCTGTTCCTCCTTCCTTTTCCCTTAATGTCTCAAATTTCTCCAATTCTCTTGAGTCCTTCACTTCTTCCTCCTCAGATACTTCTCAAACTGATAAATCCATCCCTCCTTAGGCCGATCCTGCTCTTATTAAACCAGTCAATTTTCATTCCATGCAAACCAGAGCTAAGTTGGATTTTGCTCAGCTAAGACATGAACCTAGACTCCTTCTCACCCATCATGAGCCCAAAACTATTAAGCAAGCATCGGCCTCCTTACCATGGAAAACTGCCATGCAGACTGAGTTTGATGCTCTAATCACTAACGAAACCTGGTCTCTTGTACCTCTTCCTCCTAACAAACATGCTATAGGTTGCAAATGGGTGTTTAGGGTTAAGGAAAATCCTGATGGCACTGTCAACAAATACAAGGCCAGGTTGCTTGCAAAGGGGTTTCATCAACAACATGGGTTTGATTTTACAGAAACCCTCTCACCAGTGGTCAAACCCATCACTATTAGGGTTATTTTTTACTATTGCTGTTACTCATCATTGGCCTATTCATCAACTGGATGTTAATAATGCCTTTTTGAATGGCCTTCTTGATGAAGAGATGTATATGGAGCAACCTCAAAGTTTTACTAGTGACAACCCAACTTTTGTGTGCAAACTTCACAAGGCTCTTTATGGGCTCAAACAGGCCCCTAGGCAATGGTTTGAGAAGCTTAAAAAAGCTCTCCCTGAACTTCAATTCAGGGCTAGTAAATGTGATCCCTCTCTCTTCATCTATCAGTCTAATGGTCAAACTCTATATCTTCTAGTTTATGTGGATGATATCATCCTAACTGGAAGTTCAGAAGAACTCCTTAAGAAGATTGTCACCAACTTGAATCAAGTCTTTTCTCTTAAGTTTTTAGGTGATCCTGACTATTTTCTTGGAGTTGAGGTCAAGCAGGCCTCCCATGGTTCTCTTCTTCTCACTCAATCCAAGTACATAAGGGATTCAGAAAACTCATTTGATTGAGTCATCTCCTATCTCCACTCCTATGCAATCCACCTGCAAGCTAACCAAGACAGGCTCCACTGCCTTTTTTGATCCTATATTATACAGGTCTGTGGTTGGTGCCCTGCAATGTGCAACTATCACCAGACCTGATCTTGCATATGCAGTCAATAAAGTCTGCCAGTTTCTGTCTCATCCTCTTGAGACTCATTGGATTGCAGTCAAGAGGATCTTAAGGTATCTCAAGGGCTCTATTGTACATGAATTGCTTCTCTCTTTCTCTTTTTCCTACTACAACTCCCTCTCTGCAGGTGTATTGTGATGCAGATTGAGCATCAAATCCTGATGACAGAAGAAGCACTTCTGGTGCAGTTCTTCTTTTTGGCTCCAATCATATCTCTTGGAGCCAGGCCAGGTCGAGCCTGTTGTGGCCAGGTCCAGCCTGTTAGAGTAACTAGCTAAGATAGGTTAGATATAACTAGTAGTAGTATATTGTTGTAACTACCAAGACTGGCAGGTGTCAGCTTGCAATATCCTGACCTACTTTAGCAGGTTTCCTGGTTGTTAGTATAAAAGCAGCAAGGCCCTCTCTTTGTAATTAACTTTTGAATGAGAAGAAAAGTTTGTTACAGAAAATGAACATTTCCACCATGAGTTCTATCAAAGTAGCATACAAGTATCTCAAGAAATACTTTAAGTTCGCGAGAGGAAACTTTTACCAAAGACTATACCTTTGGTCAAAAGAGCTTATACACTATAAGCTATAAGATATCCTTTATACGCTAGTGGTATGGCCTTGACAAATAGACTCTTAAGAATGTAAAGTAATTGATAGTCAGTAATAACATGTTCTCGAACGTGTAACGTGGTGTTTTCTCTTTGGTTGTGTTAGGTTTTATAGGGGACGCTTGATTACAATCTTAACTTGTTATTTATAAAATTGTTTCAATTCTTAGAGTTTATGTATTGTATTGTATAGGTTGTTTCTTTAATTGAAGATGGGATTAGACTCCACATAGGACATGCATAGTCTGCTTCTATAAAGTATCTTGTTGAACATATTACATAAGCTTAAAAGAGTTTATCGTCATCGTATGTTATTTTTATAAGCTATCGTGTTGTCAAATAGCGGCTATGACGGTGCTATATAGTAAGTACTGTAGCGTAATGGAACTTGAACACACTGCTGTTTTATTCGATCAGCATTTGACCGCACTGATAAGCCATTTCAAACACTTGCACAAGTAGTTATGCCATAAGAGAAGTCTGATTAAGTTATTTCAAATATCCTTAATATGTTCTCATTTTTTGGGTTGTTTTTCTTCTGGAAGTTTTAATTTTGTGGTATTTGAGTTCTGACTTCTTAAAGGATGATTCTGTTAAAACAGATCGGTCCTGCACAAATAGAGGCATTATACCAATATGGCAAGTTTCAGTTTGAATGTGGAAACTACTCTGGCGCTGCTGACTATCTTTATCAGTACAGAGCATTGTGCACTAATAGTGAAAGGAGTTTGAGTGCATTGTGGGGAAAGCTGGCAGCTGAAGTATTGATGCAAAACTGGGATGTTGCTCTTGAAGAGCTCAATCGCTTGAAGGAAATAATTGACTCAAAGGTTGTTGATTTATTCAGTAGCACGACTATCTTGCTTGTAACGCTGCTGGGATTAATAGACTTACTATTGGTGAACTTCGTTGCAGAATTTTTCATCACCTATAAATCAGGTACAAAGCAGAATATGGCTGATGCATTGGAGTCTGTTCATCTTTTTCAACCATGACAATGGAAGAACACTGATAATTGATCTGTTTAACCAAGACAAGTATGCAATGTTGACTTATCTTCCCTTTCCCTTCATTTGTTTTTAGTCAGAACACAATATTCCATATTTTGTTTCTGGTTGTTAATCTGCAGAATAATACTTCTGCAGTTGTTTCCTCACTCTGGGTTTAGTATCTTAAATGTTTTGTCGTCAAATATTTGATATCATTTCTAGGTATCTTAATGCAATCCAAACTAGTGCTCCGCACCTTTTGCGATATTTGGCCACAGCATTTATTGTCAACAAGCGCAGGAGGCCTCAACTCAAAGAGTTTATAAAAGTTATTCAACAAGAGCAGCATTCATATAAGGACCCCATCACCGAGTTTTTGGCTTGTGTATACGTCAACTATGACTTTGATGGCGCTCAAAAGAAGATGAGGGAGTGTGAAGAAGTAAAAGCCCTCTCTATTGTGTAGCTAACAAATGTGTTGATTATAATAATATGCTTACCATTTGTAAAAATGCAGGTAATTCTCAATGACCCCTTCCTTGGTAAACGAGTCGAAGAAAGCAATTTTTCAACTGTACCATTAAGGGATGAGTTCCTTGAAAATGCTAGGCTATTTATTTTCGAGACATACTGTAGAATACACCAACGCATTGACATGGGGTATGTACATAGTATCAGATACAAATCTTGTAGTTCATGTTTGGTTTACAACTTTTTTACAAGCCTCTACTAAAAACATGCTTCAACTTATGTGCCATTGATCTGTGATAGTCTATCAAAACCAAATGCAGAAAATAAGAGTTGTGCTTTTTTTGTTGCGGACTTATGCCCATAGGGGTCTATATCGTCTACATCATACATGCAATACAACTAAACTTTTTATGATAGTATTACTCAGTTGCTCATATTTGTTTTAAACAGAGTACTTGCCGAGAAGCTCAATTTGAATTATGAGGAGGCTGAGAGATGGATTGTGAACCTCATACGAGGCTTAAAGCTTGATGCCAAAATTGACTCGCAAACTGGAACTGTTATCATGGAATCTAATCATCCAAATGTGTAAGTTGATACTATCATATACTGAAACTTGATAAACACTATTACTATTGTTCTGGTTTACCCCTTTTGCCTTTTGTTCTAAGATCTCAAACTTCGAAATGTTCAGGTATGAGCAGTTGGTTGACCATACCAAAGCCCTTAACGTTCGTACTTACAAGTTGGTCACTCAACTTCTGGAACAAGCACAAGGTCAAGCAGCTCGTTAAACTATTTTTAAATGTGATGACTGAAGATCATCCAGCCGGCACAGAAGACAAAAAATAACAAAATTGGAGGGAAAGAATCAATCACGGACAGCTAACAAAGGATCCCAGATTTACAGGAGTGAGGAGGAGAGCCATAAGATATTCTCGTGTCTTTGCATAGGAGAACTGCTTACCAATGATTGTTGGGGAATATTTTGGTGGAAACCGTCTCTCTCTTTTCTTTACTCTGCAAACTTTCTGTACTTGGCTGAGTGTACTTGCGGCTTTTACATTCTTGTACTTGCAATTTTCATTCCATGAAATGGCTTGCAGCCATACTCTAATTAGGTCCTAAAATTCGTAATAGATTCCTAAATTTTACCATCTCTTTTGACAATGTAGTGAAAGCATTTTCTAATCATCTAAGTACTTGTTACACCCTAATATCTTGAACAAACTATTACCATTCATTGGTGTCTCCATCAGATCAACCAGAAAAAAGAAGCTACCGCTTCATAAATGAAACTCAAACTTGAAAAATAATTGTCACTTTTATAATAATGAAAAACGGTCGAATCCTACGCTTATGTGTCACAATTCAATAATGAAAAACTGTCGAATCTTACGCTTATGTGTCACAATTCAATATTTATTAACTAAACATTCAACTTACTAGTGTCACCGCATCATGATCGGGAGATTTGGTTGTAGTTGAAATCACTTGTTAGAATTGACCTTGAATTGGATTAGTCTAGGCGATCCAATAAATTGAATATTGGTGGTGAAAAAAAACTAGTTTATTAGTGTCATTGCAATTGCAATTGAGGGAGGATTTGAACCACTTGATATTAAAACTGACACTGAACCGAATTAGTCGGTTTAGTGGACTGAATATTGACGAAAAAAAATAAAACCAACTTATTGGTGTCACCGCAACTGCGTTAGGGGGTTTGAAATCATTTGATGTCAAAATTGACACCAAACTGGATTCATTTATCCCGTAGATCGGATACTAGTGATAAAAATAAAATAAAATCAACTTATTAGTGTCACCGTATTTGTAATTAGAGAGTGACTGAAATCACTTAATATCAAAACTAACATCGAATTGAATTATTCTGTTCAATAGATCAAATACTAATTAAAAAAAGATCGAATACTAATTAAAAAAAATTCTATGCTTAAGAATGTAAATAGTAGTTTTTAACATGGTATAACTTAGTACTACTAAGCTAAAGCAAGTTTTAAATACATTAATACAGCAATATATTATATTTTCTTATGAATAAAAACCTAATTTTCCAACACCTTGCATATTACGAACAATAACACTACAGAGTTTTTCAATTCACCTACTGTATATTTGAATCTGTCAAAATACATTAATAAAAACGTGTTTTGGATAGTTTTAAACTGAGAATTTCTAATTACATCTTATTTGTTTCTTAGACATTATACAATTTTTTTATATTGTCTTTAATTTTTTGAGATATATTTTTGAACGGATTCTTTTCACATTTAAGGAAGACCATTCTGAATGGCGCCCCTTGTAGTTACTAAATATTTATTCTAGAGATATATCTCTGAAACTATACCGTATTTATATTTTTGGAACAAAACCAGAAACACAAATCAACACAAGTTAAACTTTTCAAATATAAAATGAATATTACAATGATAATTTCAACAGAAAACTAAATACTACATTTCAATATTCTGATGGACGCTTGCACATCTCCAAGATATCGTCGACTAATCTTCAGAGTTTCGCTTCTAACTCGAGCGAAAGTTTCTCTTCAAAATCGAAAAACGTTCGCCACATCGCCATAACATCCGCTCGAGTCTTGAGCTCAAATTTACTAAACACAATGTTCCCTTCATTGTCAACCGAGTGTGAGTGGTACTCAAGCTTGACAACCTTTTGTGTGTCTCCATAAAGTAGAAGATAGTGGATTTCGTCTATGATATCGTCAAGGGGGGTGAGATCGGTGAGCTTGAACGTTCTCCTGGGTGCAGAGGCACCAGAGTAGGAGACACTTGCGACATACTAACAAATGTTTATTTCACACATTTGAGACATTTTAAGTTTGTGTTAAGTATAACACAAGAACTCCCAACTTTATAGAAGACTTAGTTCAATAAGAACACTCATTGACTAACATTCATACTCCGGATATATATATATATATATATATATATATATATATATATATATATATATATATATATATATATATATATATATATATATATATATATATATATATATATATATATATATATATATATATATATATATATATATATATATATCCGGAACGCACCCTATTATCTTGTTTCGGAGATGCATCTCTGAAACTTTCCCTGGACAATTAAAAAATAAAGTAAATAAAAGAACCTTCCAGCGATACTGTAACACCCCAAATTTATGGAAATATTTATTTAATTTATTTAAATAGGAACATTTGTATTTTTTTGGTGATTTGCCGTGGTTGGTATGAAGTATTGAGAATTATGAATTTTGGATTATTTATTTAAATAATAATATATAATATGAATATATTGGTATTATTATTCATTTAAATAAATATAAGTGAATTAAGGGCAAAATGGACATTAGAGGAGGAGTTAGTGAGAGTGAAACTGAAAAACCCATTTTGAGGCCCAAAGTTAGGTTTAACAAAAAGGAATTTTGAGGGAATTATGATTCATTCTTATTAGACCGTGAAAAGAGAAGAAATAGAGGTCAAAACTGTGCTATCAGCGTTGAAAGAGAAGCAATTGTATGCAAACTGTCAAAGTGTGAGTTTTGGTTGAAGGAAGTGAGTTTCCTTGGTCATGTGATCTCGAGTAGAGTTATTGCGGTTGATATGTCGAAGGTTGAAGCTGTATCGCAATGAGAAGCTCCAAAACCTGTTTTTGAGATTAGAAGTTTTCTTGGGTTGGCAAATTATTATCGAAAATTCATTGAAGGATTTTTCCAAGTTATCTTTGCTATTGACGCAGTGGACTAGGAAAGTTCAAGCTTTTGTTTTGGATGCAAAGTGTGAAGAAAGTTTCAAGAGCTTTTGAGAAGGCTGACAGCAGCTCATGTTTTGATTTTGTCGAATCCGTCAGAATCATTGTTGTATATTGTGATGCTTCGTTGATGGGATGAAGAGGTGTGTTAATGCAACATCAGCAAGTTTTAACTTATGCTTCAAGGCAACTTAAAATGCATGAGAGGAATTATCTAACACAGGATTTAGAGTTGGTTATTGTTGTGTTTATGTCGAAGCTTTGGAGGCATTATTTGTTGGTTCGAGATTTGAGGTGTTTAGTGATCATACGAGTTTGAAGTATGGATGGACAAACATAGAGAACTATTTACTCTTTAAAGGATTTGCTAAGACCTGGTGTGTTGGATCAAGGTGGATTGTGGGATAGTCATTTTCCGTTGATTGAGTTTACCTACAACAACAATTATCATTCTAGTATTGGAATGACACTGTATGAGGCATTGTATAGCAGGAGATGTAAGACTCCTTTATGTTGGTATTAGTCAGGCGAGAGTGTTATGCTCGGACTTGAGATTGTTCACCAGACGATTGAAAAGATCAAGAGGATCTAAGAAAATATGAAAGTTTCGCAGAGTCGTTAGAAGATTTACCATGACAAGAGGAGGAAAGCACTTGAGTTTCAACAGGGAGATCACGTGTTTGAGTTACGCCGGTAACTGGTGATAGCCGAGCTTTGAAGTCTCGAAAGCTCGCACCGTATTTTGTTGGTCCGTATCAGATTTCGCAAAAGGTGGGAGGAGTAGCATACCGAATTGCTTTACCGCCGTCGCTTGCGAATTTGCATGATGTGTTTCATGTGTCTCAGTTGAGGAAGTACATTCCAGATCCGTTACATGTGATTGAGATAGATGATGTACAACTGAGAGATAATTTGACTGTTGAGGCATTGCCAATATGGATTGATAAATGGGAAGTGAAGCAACTGCGAGGTAAAGAGATTTCCTTGGTAAAGGTAGTTTTAGGAGGACCAGCTAAAGAAAGTTGGGCTTGAGAGCGTGAGGATCAGACGAGGGAGTCGTATCCGACTTTGTTTCCTTGAGGTAATTTTCGAGGGCGAAAATTCTTTTAAGTGGGGGAGAGTTGTAATACCCTAAATTATTGGAATATTTATATAATTTATTTAAATAGGAATATTCGTATTTTTGGTGATTTGCGGTGGTTGGTATGAAGTATTGAGAATTATGGATTTTGAGTTATTTATTTAAATAATAGTATATAATATGAATATATTGGTATTATTATTAATTCAAACAAATAAAAGTGAATTAAGGGCAATTGGATATTAGAGAAGGAGTTAGTGAGGGTGAAATTGGAAAGACCATTTTAAGGCGCAAAGTTAGGTTTAACAAAAAGGAATTTTGAGGGAATTAGGATTCATTCTTGTTAGACCGTGAAAAGAGAAGAAATAGAGGCCAGAGCTCTGAGGAAGAGGATTGAGGCAAAGCTCCGCGAGGTTTCCAAGAATCAAGGAGAAAGGCTTAGAGTCGGCAATTAAGGTATGAGGAGTATTACCTTCATTGTTTTCATAATATGATTCAATGTATTTAAAGCCGATTTAAGGATTTAGGAGGTTTTTGAGTTTGAGGAAATTAGGCCTTCGTGGCCAAATCTGTTTTTGAGGTTGTTTAAGTATGTGGAGTATTTCCTTCATTGTTTTCACTATGTGATTCAATGTGTTTAAAGCTAATTTAAGGATTTAGAAACTTTGAATATTGAAGTGTTGTTGCCTTTTTGGTGAGTTTAATGAGTTTGAGGGATTTGAACTAATGGTCTGGTAGGTTTGAGGCTAATTTGGGAGTAAGGGAAATTAGGCATTCATGGCCAAAATCTGTTGTTGAGGTTTTAATCGTATAAGGTAATTGATTATGATAACTCTAATGAATGTGGGAAAATTTTAAGGATTTTATGGGAATTGGAGGTGTAAATATATACAGGATTGACCTAATAAGTCGTAGATTTTGT